GTCCACTACAATAGTTGTTTTGAACATTTCAAGGTGTTCACAATATATGTATTAATTTTTGACCCTAAAAGCAATGTTTAAGAGTGCTATTGCTCTATACCCTTGCAAACCAGGGCTACTATAATTTTTTTATCTGTTTAATAGATCCAGTAACACTACTTGATATTTTTTTATCAATAATTCATAAGAAAATATCATTAAGATGATCCACAACTCCTTATTTAATGGAATTAAATCATTCTATTAATAGAAATATAACAAAATGACAGGAAAATTGCTATAATTTGATTCCTATAAATTCCATAGCTACCTAAAATTATAGGTACAGAAACATGAACTTCATATCTACAAAGGTAGAATGAAATCACTTCTGCCAATCACTTATCAAAACACATGTTAGACCCTTAGATGCTTCATTAGAATCCTATGGAAATCTCAGAAATAAGCTCTAATTTCATTAAACAAGCAAATTCTACAAAAGCTGTTTTTTAAATATATAAGACAGTTATCAATTTTCAGTCTTTGAATTCATTAACATTTATTATAGGCTATATATTGGATGCTAAGAGTTTAAAGAACTAGCAGGGGCATATATTTGAGCATCAAATTCATTACAAGAGTTTTAAGTCAGTGCCATGAAGTTTTATTCTTTTTGTTTTTAAATATGTTCATGGAAGTAAATGTATCCTGGGGATGTAATGTACAGCATATTGACTATAGTTAATAATACTGTATTGTATATTTGAAAAATTGCTAAGAAGGTCTTAAAAGCTCTCATCACAAGAAAAAAGTTTATAATTATGTGTGGTAATGGATGTTAACTAGACTTATTGTGATTATTTCAAGACATATACAAATATTGACTCATTATGTTGTGTACCTGGAACTAATATAATGTGATATGTCAATTATATCTCAATAAAAATAAATATACTCATGTAACAAATATTGAACTATATTTGGCACATAGTACATTTTGAGTAAAGCTCTTATCAGTAGTGAATGGCCACAAGACAATATACTTACAGTCACTAAAGTTTGCCTGACTTACTTTTAATATTTGTGAATAGACATTTATCACTTAAAGACTTGATGTCTCCTTGGAAATAATTATATTCTGAGGGCTAAAAAGAATTCAGTATAGAATTTATTATTGCACAGATCACAACACATTTGAACTCCTAGAGAGAAATGCTATTTAAACATTGTGACCTTCATTTTATTAGGTACTCAAATTTATACTGCACATAGGAAGGATTCAAAAATATGCAGAGCAAAAACCCACAAGTAGTATTTTGTGGCCAAAGCTACCTCTAGACCAGTTATTTGGAATTCAAACTATGCAAAGCAGCTTTACAAAGGAGTCTACAATTTTAAATGTTGATTAGCAGTTAAAAAAACAAAACAGTATTAGGAAAAAAATCTAATCTACATCTTGGTGAGAATAAAATGTGTTGGGGTAAGTGCAACAAAGCAAGTAGTCACTTGCAGCTGAACTCTCTTTTTTGAAAACTGGAAGCTGTATCAGAAAAGTTATGAAAAAAGTAAATCTAAGACAAAGTTAACTTTCCAGAATTCAAAACTTTTTGAGTATTTACATATGTTACTAATCCACAGTAGGCTGATGCCTCCTGGGTACTGACTGGCTGGCAGAGTCAACTAACACAATACATGAGGGCCAGGTGCTTCTGCTTATACTTTTCAGTCCAAGAACACTTCAGTGCTCACGTGTTGGGCCATGCCCTTGGCCACTTCCACCATTTGGGTAAAAGTAAACAATAAGTAGGATCTGACTGAGTTATGTTTGGAAGGGTTCTCAATAAATGAGAATTGTGTATGAAGTGCCTGGCAAACAGAAAGCGCCCAATAAATGTTAGATTTTAAAAAATTCTGCAATTGCATTGGATAAAACCCAGAAATAGCAGTGAGAGCCATGGTTGCTTCCAACCTGGGAGGCCTGTCTACAACCATTTTATTCAAACTTTTGCAGGAATATATGGTACTGTGTTCTGGTTCACAGGATAAAAATAAAATTAGGCTAACTATAATTTTGCCATGCTCCTTTGGTACAGTTCTGAACTCACTTTGAAATTAGCAATCTTGGGGAGACTTCCTGATATTTTTATCAGACTTGCCGACAAAGTACCTATTCTTCCACATGCTTTTCATGGGGGGGCGTGAAGAGGAGGAAATAATATTACCCACCGAAATGAATGGGATGAATGACAGTGCCCTGCTGGATCAGTATCTTAGGTAAATTCATAATAGAAACAAAAGCACAGACACTGTGTTCTCATAAATATTACTACTACAAGACAAAGGTCTGCAGACATTGTGGAAAGCCCTCATTTAGTCACTTTACAGAGACTCTTCTCCCAAAACTAGGGACTATATTTTTTTCTTCCAGGGGTCATTGACCTACAGGGGAAAACAAATAACAAAGGGTCTCACAGGAGGTGAAAAGGAACTTAATTATCACTGGATTACTTTATAAAGTCACAGTAAAAAGTGAAACTTAGCTGATTTAAAATTTAAGAACAGAATAACACAAAACCTTATTCAGTATGTCCAATGATAGGAACATTTTAAATTCTACTTCAGTTCTAGTATGGCCAATAATGGGGAAAAGAAAAGTAGTGGAAAAACAAAAAAGACAAAGAAAGAAACTCAGAGGGAGGGAGAGAGGAAGAGATTGAGATCAACAGAGAGACAAGAATAAACACACAAGACACTGGGGAGAGGCTTATTGGATTACTTTTTGAAAAAGTAACACCCTGGACGCCTGGGTGGCTCAGTTGGTTAAGTGTCTGCATTTGGCTTAAGTCATGATCCCAGGGTCCTGGGATTGAGCCCCATATCAGGCTCCCTGCTCAGCAGAGAGCCTGCTTCTCCTTCTCCCTCTGCTGCTCCCCTCGCTTGTATGCTCTGGCACTCTCTCTGTCAAATAAATAAAATCTTTAAAAAAAAAATAACACCCTGTCAAAACTCTTCATCTCTGCTGAGGTCTTCAGGAATAACACCTTTCACTGCTTTTTACCAAAGCTATTCTTCACAATTTATTAACTCTCTTTGTCCTTGAAATTCTTACTGGGCCTACCACTTCCTGGTCAGGAGAACTTTCTCTGATGATAATGTTCTGGATATGGGCTGTCTGATGCTGTGGCAACATGTGACTACCGAGCACTTGTACTGTGGCTAGTGCAATAAAGGAATGGAATTTTTTAATTTCATTTTAACTAAATAGTCACACGCTATCATGGCTATCTTATTGGACAGTGCAGGTCTAAGGGACATTTACTGTGTGGACATTTATGGTGGGAGGAAAAATGGTCTCGAGGCCACATAGACATGACTAAGGACAGATGAAATTAAATCACAGAATGAATTTCAGCCTTTTAGCTGTATCTTCTCCCAACCTTAAAGTGTTTCCTTTTCTTACCCTATACACGAACTACTCAATAAATAGTATTGCTGATAATCATACTACTAGCTAAACTAGCCTCAGAAGAGTCATCTTGCTTTACGTGTGCAATTTCTGTTCCAGATAAAGCACTCAGTGGACCTAGATGAACTGCCATTTTTGTGCCCCAAGTCTAAACCCCATTATTGAGAAGAGTCCTACCTTCATTGTCCCTCAAAGAAACAGGCCGAACATGAATACCTGTTGAGAGTTCTTTGCACTTCTCATAAGCATGCCGTACCTGACCACTTTGTCGGCTGTCCTCTATCCCCCTTAATCCTTTCTTCAGCCCTCTTATTGCTTATCTTTCCCAGATGAAGAAAAATGCTCTTTGAGGGGGTGAAAACTCAAAGTCGTTGGTAGGCTTTGGGGCAAAACTATCAGCCAGGTTAAGTGTACAGGGTAGATCTATCTCCAAGACTTTGGGGAACTAGGCTTTTAGGAGTGTTCAGTACTTCATGCTGTCATTCTTATTAATAAACAGCTCTCATCAGTAGTTTGACTATTGTTTCAGCACTGCTCTGCATCGTTTGATCACCTCTAAATCTATAGGTTTTAGTTTTCTCTGTATTTATTCAACCTTACTTCATTCGATAGTAATGTCTCTTTCTCTGCTAGTGAGCCACAGATTATTTTTCTTGTAAGAGCTGCATTTTTGACCTCATATAATCCTCAAAAAGGAGAGATGGGGGGGCGCCTGGGTGGTTTAGTCGTTAGGCCTCTGCCTTCGGCTCAGGTCATGATCCCAGGGTCCCGGAGTCAAGCCCCACATCCGGGCTCCCTGCCCCGCGTCTCCCTCTCTATCAAATACATAAATAAAATCTTAAAAAAAGAGGAGAGATCGGGACTATTGAGACACTTGCAAAATCACACCAATAGCTGCCCCTACCTGGGTTAGTCACAGAATCACCCCATTCCGGTAGGCAGTGGTTGTCTCTTAGTAGTAGGTCATTAATAAATACTTGCTTTATGAAGGTAGGAAAGTAAGTCATGTGTAAAGGTGTGCAGCCTCCTATAAATAACTTGTGTACCAGGGGTTCTCAAGATACCTAATGAACAAGCCCTTACATCCCGACTACTTTGGGGCTAGGATGAAAATTCTAACACCTTCCCAATTGCCCTCGCTGCAATGCCAATGACCAGGGCTTCCCTTTACACTCTTTACAGGTTTCTCTCCTCTTAGCGCTCAATAACTATAATTGCCCGCTGCTGTGTCCGCCATGCGGGCTCTAGAGCCAGGGATCAGAGGTATAGGGGCTTGGGCCTCCACTGCAGGCTGAGTCTCTCTCCAACCCACCTTGATGCCAGGGGCATTTCTCTCCTCCTCAGCGGCTTCTACCACGACTCCAGCCCGCCCTCCCCCGCCCTGCCCTTCGCGCCCCTTCCTTCCCTCTCACAGCACTCTACAGACAAGCCCTCCCCTCCCAACCCTATCGTGAGCTTTCCCGCTTCCGCCCGGCGCGTGGGGCCCGGAGCGTGGCAAGGGAGCCCCGCTCTGCGCTGGCGAACGGCGTGGGCCGTGACGTCACTGCGCCCTGACGTCGAGCCGACGTGTAGCATGGTCTCCCGGGAGACCGGGAAAGCCGTTCGCACTGGGAGTCGAGGTCTAGGTGAGACAATGAAATGACTTCCTTGAGCCCCCCGGCCTACCCAGTCCCCCGGGACGCAGTTCCGGAGCGGAGGCGTGCTGGCATCGTGGGGAGAGGGCCGGAAAGCTGAGCCGCGGCGAGGGAATGTGGCCCCGAGCGTCTCCTCCGCCCCCCTTTGCGGCCGCCGCACAGCTTCCGCTAGCCCGCTCGGCCCCGGCGTCCTCTACTCTCCCTGAGAACGCAGCTCAGCCTCCGTCCCGCACCCTCCTCCCTCTTCCCGCCACTTTAGGTCCCGAGGGAACGGGGTTAGAAAGGGACGGGTTTCAAAACCCTTCCAGCAGTTTTGGCTGGCCTTGCAGTTGGTTTCTATTAGGAAAATGCCGCCGCTTCAGGAATGTCTTAGAACAAGAACTCCGTTTCACCTGACCCTGACCCGCTCATTTGCGGGTGGTTCACACTACGGGAAGGGTGTGTTTACGGAAGGGTCTGAAAGCCGAACGTGAGTTAATGGCCCAACGTGACACTGCTGTGTGAGGAAGGGAATCGGAAGTGAACAATCCAGACGTTTCTGTGTTTTCGACATCTTCGTGATCCTGCTAAGAGCAGGATCACAAATACTTAGTAGCTGCTGCCAGTTTCACCGCACCTCTTGCTCAAGGGCAGTCTACATGTATGTAATGTGAAAGAATAAAAGAAATTGATTTGATAAAACATGCAAAATAATGTAAGAGTGAAGTAACAATTTTAAAAAATTGCCGTGTTGCCAAAGAGGAAGGAGACCTTACCCCCTCCCTTTCTTGAGAAACTGTATTTGTGAATGTTTCCTCTGTTCCTTTAATACCTATGCAAATCTTTTTAAAAGACCCAGAATGTTTTTGAGGGCGTGAGAGCCATTTCTTTAAAATGTAAACATCAAGGAAGCTATCTCCCTGTCACCTTGGGAATTTCGCCTAGGCTCCTTACTTTAGTACCAAGGGCTCTGTCAGAGAGATTTGTATTCCTTAGCACAGTCGCAATTAGCGCAGATAGCTACTTCAATTACTAGGTGAACTGAAAACGAACTACGAAATTGTGTAACAGACTGTATTGAGGACGAGTTACCATTTCTCTTGAGAAGATGTATGTAATGGATTGTATCTACATAGCTGTATAAAAAAAGTGGGATTTCTGTCTTTGTAGTCTCATTAGCAGATTGGCTCTGATGCGCATCAGTCTAGTTAAATGATTATTCAGTAATGAGACTGTTTTCTTTCTGCATTGTGGAGAGATTTTCTGGGTTGGCAGTATTTAATTTTTAATTTTTCTTCAATAATTAGAACCTGCCAAATTTCCTTACTTGCTATAATAATGACACAAAGTTGGAATAGCTTTAGAGATAAAGAAAGTAATAAACAAAAACTGTTCCACTGGTCCCTTGTTTATACTGTCACTAGATCCATGCTCTCAAATAATTTTATGGGTGGAATTTAAAAAGATTTAGTTGGTAATTTTAGGAAAAATTCTACTCCCACCAGAGTTTAATTAAGATGATGCCATCTTATTTTACTGATGGTGAGTCCATTGTAAAATGACAGAAGAGAGAATAATGAGCCTCCTGTGAATAATGAGCTCTTGCCACATCAGAGACAGTTCGCCAAACATCAGATTATCATGTACTTGGCTATGTGGGCCTATGTTAGCTATGTCAGTTAACTTTACCACACACACACATTATCTTTATATGGGAAGACAGCTCATTATTTGTTTAAACAGCATCTCATTAAAACAGCATGCTTTGTGGAATTTTCTTTCCACCAATGGTTGCACTATTAAAAAAAAAAATACTGCCACTACAGAAATTTTTGTCGACTACAATTTCCCTAACACCTTGTTGTGGCCGAGGTTGCTGTCTCAGAGTACTACGCCTCCAGTCTATCTTTGTGTCAAAACCCTTCTCTGATCAAAAGCAAACAGCATCTGGAAGCCTTCCCTAGTTTCCCATTCCCACCAGAAAGATAAGACGTTTTTCCTTCCTGAACTCCTAGGTTGTTCCTTGTCTACTACTGGCCCTCAGATTTTCTTCCTTCCTATAGAATTGTGCCTGTATCATCTTACTCTGCTGCCCTCTTTCTACTCCTCACTCCTTAGATGTATATATAAACATTTCTCAGGAACCTGTGTATTTTCTCCATATTTGGGAAAGATTAAAAAAACCCCCAAAAGTACTGTCTCCATTCATCTTGGGTAGTTACATGAAAGTAGTGATAGAATTTTATGTTGAGTTGTTTTATTAGAAAATGAAAATCTATTAAAGTAAAATATCTGCATAAAGTTATGTAAATGTTCATCTTAAGTAAAATGAACACTTCTCATGCTTTGATGACTCTTCAGGGCCTGCATATGATACTTAATTTGATAACTGTTTTTTTCATACTTCATCCTCTAAACCAGCATTCATGTCACAATTGTTTTTCTTATCTGCTGAACTAAAATACTATATTTAGATACTTTTAAGTTTTTGGACCCCCACCTTTTTTTTAAGAAAACAGAAATAGTCCTGTTTAAAATTTGAAGTGACACTTATTCTGTATTTGCAAAACAAATCAGTAGTAGTAAACTACCACAGAAATTACAATTAGACTTTGAAGTTCTAAAGAAAATGTTTCTAACTCAGTTGTCTGTTATCTTTCCTATTCTATTGGCCTAATAGCTAACTGAGAAAAGCCCATTGGTTGTACCTTTTAACATTGAGTTGATGAAATAACCGTTATCACCATTCATCTCTGAGTACTCCCAAGAATTTATATCTTTTAATTTGAATTTTACTCACATTATTTCAGTTCTGACTATTGCTATAAATGTTTTTATATTATTTTACTTCAGAACTCATATTTTGGGAAATTATGGATCGTCACATCCCCATGCATGAATTACCTGAAGAAATCCAAAAGGTATGATATTGTATTGTGTTATTACAGCATAACATTAAGAGCCTTTTAAGGTAGATATAAAACCTGGGGGAATGATTTCAGAGGTTTTACATTTATTTTGGTCAGGGCATCTGCAATGAATTGATGGAGTGGTAAGGGGAATAACCATAATGGCCAGATTGTAGAATTCAATTCAGTGCAAAGAATGTTTAACCTATGAAGGAAGACATCTTTAATTCCAGCACAGTATTTGACGAGGTATTTGTGGAGCTTTTGTGAAAAGAGGGACTCAGGAGTGTCCAAATACTATATTTAAATATTTTTCTAGCAGCTTTTCAGGAGAAAAAATCTTGTTGTAAAAAATGGAAATACATGGGCCTGTTTAAAATTTTAAGTGAATCTTATTCTGTATTTGCAAAATGGATAATTAGTAGTAAGCTATTATAGAAACTACAATTAGTTTGTAAGTTTATGTGATGCTAAATGTTGGTGTCTCTCTCCATATAAAGGTCTATTTCAGTTTCACCTTAATTTTTGCCACTTATGTACCAAGCACTGTTTTAAACCCTTTCATATGTATCAACTCATTGAATCTGGTTAACAATCAATTTTTCTTTACAGTTTCTATCCTGCTCTCCTCCCTGTGAGTTCATAGCTATCCTCAGGCAGAAGCATTTATCCTATATTTAGTTTGGCAATGCATACATTGTTAACAGTTTAATTTTTAAAATATCTCTTTGAAACTGATTGACAAATTGTGTATTGAAACCTCAAACATTAGCTATCATTAATCATTGAGATTTTTCGGTAAATCTACAGTCAGCTCTTAATTAACCACCAGTCCGTTACTTTTTAATTAAAAATTTCAGTCATCCCTCGGATATGCTTTTATCCTTTGTGCACATTGCTTTGGGCTGCCTGTTAGCATTAATCATTCCATTGATTTAACTTGATGCTTAATGTTACTGCATGTCTTTCAGATTTATGTAAAATGCAACCTAGCAGGAACTGGAAGGGAAAAGACCAGAAAAAGACCTTTTAAACCATTGCATTTAATTTACTTCACCTTTTAAGTTACATGTAAGAGATATTAAACACAGAGAGTTTAGCTATGCTATATTTATCTGAGAAATGGTGCTTATATGTATTTGAAGACATGGTATATTCTTCCTCTCTCACTCAGCTGAGTTCTTTCCATGTACTAGGCTGGTATGGTAGAGATTAAGAGAAACAGAACAAAACAGTCTGAAAGAAACAATACCCATACTGCAGATCCTAAGGAAGAGGATGTATAATGACATGAAAAAATAACTCTAGAAGACAGTTAATGATTTAAATGTCATATAAGGTAGTATCTTCTTTGAGAGTGGAGAGGTGGGGGGTGGGAGGAATCCCTGATATTGGGATGGTCAGCGGGGGAGCTTTAGGTGGGCGAAAGCCCTTGAAGGCTGTGTATTTCTGTAGACAGATGGGAATAGGCATCCTAGGCCAAGGTAACAGAAGCTTACTGGTGAGAAAAAGCTGGCCAAGTTAGAGAATGTTTAACAATGTAAATGTTTTGAATATGTGAAAGAGTATGTATTTATTTTAATGATACTGTTCTCAAAGTTGCAGAATGCTTTCTTCTCATGTTTAAGGTACTATATAAGTAAATTGTTTAAAAATGGTAAAACCAATCCTTTCATAAATCTACAGATATATTCTTAAGGCAGGAATGGCAGGCAGCTGTCCATACAGTGCAGAGAAGGGACATCAGGAGAAACTCAGCTGCCTAAAGCCCTGGACAATTATGCCAATTGTAGCCCTTGTCCTGTTGAATGTTTAGAATGTAAAGTGCAGCTCTGCACTTTTTCAGACCTAAGTTAGATACATTTATACCACAAATATTTATCAAGTGCCTATTATGTGCTAGACACTGTTCTGGATACTTGATTATAACACAATGAAAATGTCTACATGTAGCCACAGCCTATTAAGAACAGTCTAAGTCAGTTATTTGTTTTCCACAACTTCTTACTTACCTTTGATTCATCTAGATTGTCCATAATGCAACTTGTTAAATTGCTCACTGATCAGGCAGTATATCTATTTAGTCAGCTTGCATACATCATTTCGTAAAGAACCATGTTAAATAGATAAATAGCTTATAATGGTAAGAAGAATACTTCAGATTAGAACTGTTTCATTATTTTTTTCAGTTTCTTATGTTAAGTTTTTATTTTAATTCCAGTACAGTTAACATACAAGTGTTATATTAGTTATAGGTATGCATTTTAGTGATTCAACAATTCTAGAACCATTTCATTATTAATATGAAGAAAAATCATTTATTCCACAATGGCTTTGAAATTGTGCTCATTTCTTTATTAGATAAACAAGTACGTGAGGTTTGTGGATCAGTATGTGGTGACAGGTTTTTCAAAGGTTTTTTTTTTTTTTTTTTTTTTTTTTTTTTTTTTTTTTAACTTTTTTTTTTTTTTTTTTTTCTGTCTTTTTTTCCAAAAGAAGCACCTGTTGTTTTTCTTTTTTTTTTTTTTTTCCCTGTGTGTAGGCAAGGAAGGTTAGTGTAGAAATCAGGAAAGAAAAGGTGAACTTTTCCTATTTCTTTCTTTCTGTACTTTTGCTGTATGATCTGGAAATAGATGGTCAATAAATCCCATGAAAGATACATGATAATGTGAAAATGTACTATACTGTACTATTAATAGCAAAATAGGTAGTAATTGAAAGAGTTGCAAGAAAAAGTAAGGGTGGTGGGGACAGGTGTGAAGAAGAAATGCTGATGACAAGCAGCACAGTTAGAGAATCCATTTCCTGATTAGAAGCCTACAATTGTTAAATTAACTCCCCCTGATCTCATCTTCTTAGGAAATCTTAGAGAAGAAAAAATAAAATAATCTTTTTGACTCCCATTCCTCTTTTTGCTTTTTATCACAGTTTCTGACTAAGCATAAAACACACCTCAGACATCCATATCCCTAAGTGGCAGAAAATGTAAAACAGGCCCATGGGCTGGGCAGCAGGACCACACTTGTCCACTTTGTCTGCTGCTAGACTATAGTTCACTTGTGAATGTTCTTAGACCATATCTCTAAATCTACTCTCTCTAGACTGAGCTAACCCCCACCAGTCTCTGACTTCCAATATCCACCAGCTTTGCTAGAATTTTCATCCAGCATTCTGAAAGCAGAATGCACTTGGTCTAAGTTTAGAATTGCCACAATTTAAAACTAAAACAATACTTATAGATCAGCAAAGTAATAATTCTTTATTTATTCCCCTTCTGAATGTCAACTGATGTTAGAGACAGGTGGGCTTTTTTTTTTTAGAAAAAGAAGCAACGAACAACTTTCCTTTGGCTGTTTTTGTTAGGGGACATATGCAGAAGTCAAAATAACTCCAGCAAACTAATGGAAAAATTAGTTCTTTTGCAAAAGTAAAACTGATCTCTTGTTTTTTAAAACGGTGACAAAATGAACACTTGTAATAGAATTTTAGCTTCAAAAGATATTTATTACCACAGAACATGAAGTAAAATAAAGAGACCAGAGTTGTTTATTTTATAAAACAGAAGTGATGGTGCAAGGGCTGGAGAGCACACTGTTCTTTCTGGGATAACAATCCCTTTCTCTAGCAGTAACAGCTCATTTTGTCCTGTTTCAGTAAAGTAATTTTAGTACTTTGGAACTTTGAAATTTATTCAGAATAACAGTTTTATGTTTCCAAGCACAGATTGTCATTGCCAGAAAAAATAAACGTAATTTTCCAGGTCATTTTGGGCCACTGTGGCTAGGGTCAGATTTTGTGTTGAGTTAAAGTAGAGGAAAAAGAAAGAGAATATAGTCATAGAAATATTAGCACTAGCATCCTGAAAAAGTGATATTTGTATGTGGGTGTGAGTATGTGTGTTGTGATTTTAAGCAATTGTAGTTTTAAAACTTAATGACAAAAGAAATAGGAAGCAATGTAATTTTTGCAGAGACTATTCAGTTAATCTTGTAATCCAAGATAGTTCATTAGGAAAAACAGTTTTTTTACTATGAATCTTGAAAAATCTGCAAAATACTTTTTTTTTCTTTTTTTTAAGTCCAAAATACTTTTGTTGGCTGGCTGCAGAGGGTCATAGTGTCTAAGGTGAGGTTTCCCAGTGCAAAAATAGGTATTGGAGGAAATACACTTTGGAAGTGTATTTATATAAACACGAGTGTGTCATGTATAATTTATGTGTGAAGCCAACATTTCTTAAAATTGCTCAATAAAATTTCTTTATGGGTTAATCTCTGTGTTTCAGTCCCAGATTGATTTATTTTTACTTTTACGGTTTTAAAAGTAAGATTCTTATTTTGAGATCACTGTAGATTCACATGTAGTTGCAAGAAATGAAACCAAGAGATGCCAGCTTCTTCTTCCCCAGCTTCCCCTTCTTTCCCCAGTTTCCCCCAGTGGTAATATCTGGCAAAACTGTGCTGCAGTCTCATAACCAGGATATTGACATCGATACAGTCAGGATGTAGAACAGTTCTGTCACAACAAGGGGTCCTTGTGTTGCCCTTTTATAACCACACTCACCTCAACCTACCTCTTCACACACCTCCACTACCCCACCTCCCACCCCTAATTCATGACCCCTGGGAACCATCGATATCCAATAATTATGTCATTTCAAGAGTGTTATCTAAATGGAATCAAGCAGTATGTAACCTTTTAGGATTAGTTTTTTCACTCATTGTAATTCTCTGGAGCTTTATTCAGGTTGTTGCATGTATCAGTAGTTTATTCCTTTCTGTTGCTGAGAAGTGTTCCAGGGTATGAAGGTACTACAGTTTAACCTGTTGAAGGACATCTGGATTTTTTCCAGTTTTTGACTATTATGTATAAAGCTGTAAATATTCATGTATATGTTTTTATGTGAACATATGTTTTCATTTTCCTGAGATAAATGCCCAAGAGTGCAATTGCTAGGTTGTACAGTAGTTGCACTGCATGTTTAGTTTTTTGACACTGTCAAACTTTTCCAGAGG